CATAGTCATTAGACATAGTAAATCACTGTTGTTTCAAGCTCCTAATTCATGTGGTTGCTTAAATCAACAGATAACTAAAATATGAGGGAGTCAGATTGCAAACAACAATCATAAAATATTAATTAATAGTCACCTGACTTATCCTCAGTTATCAGTATTTGTGTTGCTTAGCTTTTTCAACACTGTGGAAAAATACCTGTAAAAACAAGAGGAAGGATTTTTTTTTTTTTGAAACAGGGTCTCAAAAGGTTCTATGTAGCCAAGAGTGACCCTGAACTCCCAATCTTCCCGCCTCTGCTTCCAAAGTGCTGAGATAACAGCCAGGAGTCACCACATCCAGCAAGGAAGGATTTATTTTGCTCATGGACTCTAAGGTTTAGTCTGTAGTCATCTGATTCCATTACTGTGGGCCCAAAGTAAAACTCATCATGGCAGGATCACATGATGGAACAAAGCCACTTACATAATGAACAGAAGCAGAAACAGACAGGATAGGATAGGATAGGATTAAGACAGGACACCCAAGGACTTGCCCTAGGCTGTTGGATGGTTCTACCCATATTCAGGGAAGGTCTGTGCAAACACACATACAAACACACTCAACTGTGTGGTCTACTGATCTCCAAGACCTCACTCGATTGAGCCAAGTTGATGATCAACATTAACTATCACATGACTCTCAATTCTTCCATTTAGGTCCATGAATATTATTCTTCTCAGCAAATATCCCCATACCCAGGACCTTCCCCACCTTGTCTCCCTCTTTGAGGCATAATCACATGATCAGAACTGTTCCCCATGAGTGCAGGCTTCGCACCTGCCCCCATCTCTCAGAGTATCTGGTACACAGTGCTCTGTGCATTGGGCTGACTCTGGCAGACCCCTCTTCCTCTCTTCCAATCCACACTAGATCACTGCTCACATGGCAGTGCCTCCCATGAGGGGAATGGATGAATGATGATAATTCCAGTGCCTTTCCAATCATCTATCCATGATACCTCCCTTCTTTCACTGGCCTTGCCTCCACATTTTGCATCTGGAGGGTACCTTCTGAATAGTAACATCCCCAGAGCAGGGAAGGCCCCGAGCAGTGTGTCATATGGTCTTCTGCTCACATCCATGTGAGGAGAAGCTGCAGACAGGACCAGGTCACAAATGGTGGCAGCGGGACCATGAAGGCAGCTGCTTCTGCTCCATGTTGCTGGCTGCTTCTCATTATGTTGGTGGCGATGGTGACACTGCTACTGGAGACTAAGGGTTTACCGCTGCTTGTTCAGAGAACAATTGCCAGGACCATCATGTTACAAGAAACCATCTGCAAAGGTCAGTTTCAAGAAGTTTGGTGAGGCAAATGGTGGGGAGAAATTGCTGTGAAGATATTCTCTTCTAGGGAAGAACGTTCATGGTACAGAGAGACAGATATTTATCAGACTGTGATTGCTCCAAACCACAGAGGAGGGAAAAAAAATTCTTCAGGGAACCATGACCACGCTAAACAGTGACTTTAAAGTCTCCAAACAGATGACATGGTCCCACAACGATGATTCCACACAGACTATGATAAAGTCATTTAGCTGATTAACACCAGCCACAGATCAGCTTTGGACTACAAACTGCTCAGAACAATTTCGAGGTGGCTAGGTGAGATGATCCAGCCTGACAGACTACTTGAACAAGGACTTGAGACAAGCCACGCACTTTTCCATTATGCAGAGACTGGACAGATGATACAGGACTTGACAGTTAACCCAAAAATTTTCTTTTCAAGATCCCCTAAAGATGTCTTTGCCCCCAGAAAGCAGGAAGTAAAACAATGCCCACATTCCCAAGAGGTGGGATGGGTGGTTTTTGGTCATTTGAGTTATGGATGTTGTCATTGTTTATGATGGTTGTTTACAAGTTGTTAATTGTTAATGGTCGGGGGGAAAAAGCTAAATAAAGGAGATTAGATTCAGGGTTCTTGTTTAAAGAAAAGAAGAAAAAGAAAAAAGAGGATATAGATAAGAAGTAGATTATTGAATCTACTCTAAAAAAAGAAATAATAAGATAAAAGGTATATTTTTGAATCTACTCAGAGAAGAAAAAAGAAAGAATATGAGTATAAGATAAAAAGGTAGATTATTGAATCTACTTTTAAAAGGGAACTACTCGTTTTAAATAGGATAAGTAATGAAATTTTTTGGCTAAATTTGTCAAATGTTAATGGACTGGACATTGTTAAAGTATATAATGGAGTTTTTGTCTGAATCTGTCAAATGTTAATGGACTAGACATTGTTAATGTAATTCTTGACTGTATATATTGTATATACTTATTGGATATAGTTTTTCTTGTATTAATTATAAGTTTTTTTTAATTTTAGACAAAAAGGGGGAAATGTGGTGATATTGTGTACCCTAATAAACTTATCTGGGGTCAGAGAACAGAACAGCCACTAGATAGACATAGAGGCCAGAAAATAGTGGCACACACGCCTTTTATCACGAGTTTGAGGCCACACTAGGAACAGAACCAGGTGTGGTGGCACACACCTTCAATCCCAACACTTGAGATCTCATATCTTTACTTGGGAAAGACACATGTCTTTAATCCCAAAAGGTGATGGCAGGAAGCAGAAAGGTATATAAGGCGTGAAGACCATAAACTAGAGGCTTTTTAAGCTTTTAGGCTTTTGAGCAGCAGTTCAGCTGAGATCCATTTGGGTGAGGGCTCAGAAGCTTTCAGTTTGAGGAAACAAGATCAGTTGAGGAATTGGCAAGGTGAGGTTGGTTGTAGCTTGTTCTGTTTCTCTGATCTTTCAGCGTTCACCCCAATATCTGGCTCCTGGGTTTGTTTTTATTAATAAGACCTGTAGCTAAAGTTTTCCTGCCTGGCCCACAGTCAGGACAAATCTCTCTCACCCACCAGTCCCAAGCCGCTCAGACCCAACCAAGTAAACACAGAGACTTATATTGCTTACAAACTGTATGGCCGTGGCAGGCTTCTTGTTAACTGTTTTTACAGCTTAAATTAATCCATTTCTATTAACCTATACCTTGCCACGTGGCTTGTGGCTTACCGGTACTTTACATCTTCCTTGTCCTGATGGTGGCTGGCAGTGTCTCCCCTCCCAGCTTCCTGTTCTCTCAATTTTTTTCTCTGTTAGTCCCGCCTATACTTCCTGCCTGGCCACTGCCAATCAGTGATTTATTCATTGACCAATCAGCAACACATTTGACATACAGACCATCCCACAGCACCTCCCCTTTTCTTTTCTTAAAAAGGAAGGTTTTAACCTTTACACATCTCCAAAGTTAGCTTGGTATATTTGGGAATTTGGGCGTAGCTTCTCTTATTACTTTCTGCTGGAGGGGGGCGCTGTATCTTCTGGGGAAACAAAGAAAATTTTAGGATCATGGAGTAGTCCGTGAGGCTGTATCATCTGAGCCAGTTGCCTTGAAACGGTTCTGGATGTTGGATCATCTGGGCCATGGTGTCATCGGAGACCTTTCAGGGGGTCTTGGTTGGTCAAACCTGATGTGTCTTAATCTGGAACAAATCCATAGCTTCTGGCTTTTTGTGGAAACAAAAGCAGAGTCTCCTTTCCAAAGTAACATATCCTTATATCCAAATTTTGAAGTCAAGGTACCTTTAAAATATGTATATTTGTTTAACTCAGCTTTCTTTACAATCAAATATCTCTCTGTAGTTAAGAATCCCAAAGACAACACAATCCAGACTCTCTGTGTAATAGTCATCTCTACGTGGCTTATTTTTTATATTAATTTTACTGTCTCTTTAAAGACTTTACTTTTTAAAACTATGTATTTGTTTTTATAACTGTATATATCACCTTTTTTGTCTCTTTCAAGCCTACGTATCTTTTACACACATTTTAAACTATTACATCTGAATCTGTCTTATTGTGAATCTATTGCTTTAAGCTGCAGCAGCTGTAGCTGCTGGCTCCGCCCACCTCAGCTTCCCAACATGGCGGTGGTACGCTTTCCACCAGCTCTGGGAGCTATCGTGGGTCTCTATGCTTTTATCCAAGCAGCGTGTAGCCCAAAAACCTCTTTTTTTGTTTTGTACTAGTAAAGGCTAAATCCACCATGTAGCTTAATGTGCTATTTGTAGAGGCCTCATTCCCGCCATATGGCAGGTCCAGCGCGCACAATAGGAACCCGCCAGTAGCTCAAACCAGCAGCTGCTGCTCATTTGAGAGAGACAATTAGGAACTGTTTTTAGCTCTGTTTTAGAATCTTTTTTCTCAGTTTTTAGGTGGAAACTCTTGCCCCACGTTGGGCGCCATTTGTAGCTAAAGTTTTCCTGCCTGGCCCACAGTCAGGACAAATCTCTCTCACCTGCCAGTCCCAAGCCGCTCAGACCCAACCAAGTAAACACAGAGACTTATATTGCTTACAAACTGTATGGCCGTGGCAGGCTTCTTGTTAACTGTTTTTACAGCTTAAATTAATCCATTTCTATTAATCTATACCTTGCCACGTGGCTTGTGGCTTACCGGTACTTTACATCTTCCTTGTCCTGATGGCGGCTGGCAGTGTCTCCCCTCCCAGCTTCCTGTTCTCTCAATTTTTTTTCTCTGTTAGTCCCGCCTATACTTCCTGCCTGGCCACTGCCAATCAGTGATTTATTCATTGACCAATCAGCAACACATTTGACATACAGACCATCCCACAGCAAAGACCTTCTAACAATTCGTGCTACACATCCATTCACTCTTCCTGTGGGAACAGAGCCTTTACTTTGCTCAAGGAGCCACTGCAATGAAAGGCATTTCAGTGTCTTACTCGACGCCCCCCCCCCCCAATTCAAACCCATACTATTGGTGAATTTTTATGACAGCCACATTGATGGTTTTAGGGATAGTGTGCATAGCCAAAGCCCATCCAATCAGAGTGGATTCTGGGACATCTGGGCTTCCAATGGGAAGGAAGTTCCTTCCTCCACTGAAACTTCCTTGGGTATGGCTATTGTCAACATGGAGTCCCTTTCTCCAGCAGGAAAACAACCAGAAACCCACAGAAGCAGAACCCAAGCAGAGGAGAGCAGCTCTGGAGAGTGGAGTGGACACAAGAAATGATGATATCCTCAGACCCTGCAGTTCCAGCAGCCATCTGGTCTCCTTAGCAGAGGAGTAAAAAGTATCCTCCACTTAACTTCTCTCAGGCCAGTGGGGAGATGGCTCAGCAGAAAGGGCACTTACCACTAAGACCCGTGACCCAACTTCCATTCCTAGAGCCCACATAGTAGAGAGAGAACCTCATCTTGTCCTCTGACCTCCACATATACTCGGAGTCATGGCTGGTATGTCCTGCCCCCAAGTAAATGTTTTTTAAAGACCACAACTCTCCACTCTGAAGGACAGAGGACATATTCAGGGAAGCTAACTACACTTTTCTGGCAGGTATTATTTACAGCTAGATAATTGAAAGTCACTGGGCCTGATGACATGTTTGTCATCCCAGGACTAGGCTGAGGCAGGGGGACTGATTTGAGACCAGTCTAGGCTACATAAGAGTTCAATGTTTAGCCTGTGCTACATTTTGAGACTGGAGAGATAGTTCAGCAGTTAAGAGTGTCTATAACTCTTTCAAAGGACTCAAGTTCCATTCCCAGCACCAACCCTGAGCAGCTAGCTTATAACTGCCTGGAACTCCTGCTCCAGTGGGATCCTGCACCCTCTTCAGGCCTCCTCAGGTATGGCACTCTTGTGCACATAGACATACGCATATAAACAAGTAATAAAGTAAGTCTTTTTAGAAATGCCCCAGCAGCTACATTATAGAAAAAAGAAAAAAAATCCCAGTGGAGAAAGGATACTTCATTCCTACTGGAAGCACAGATGTTCCAGGATCATGTTGATTGGATGGGTTTTGGTTATGTGCCCGTTTATTTTGTTTGTTTGGTAGATTAGTTGGCTGGTTTTGGTTTTCTCAAGACACAGTCTCACTGTGTAGCTCAGGCTGTCTTGGAACTCACTATATAGATGCCAGGCTGGCCTCAAACTCACAGAGATCTGTCAGCCTCTGCCTCCCAAATGCTGGGACTAAAGGCCTGTGCCACTACACCCAGCTCATATGTGCCCATTCTAAAACCAATGTGTGTGTCCATAGTGAGAATTCACTGATAGGCTAGGCTTGAGGAGAGTGGAGTAAAAGAATGGAGTAAGACACAAGGGAAGAAGTTGTGGATCTCCAAGCAAGGAGATGGTACTATTTTCCTAGGGAGGGTGAGTGATATCTACTGAGGTAGGAGAGGAGGAAGCCAGGCCTGGTAGTACACACCTGTCATCTTGTACTTGAAGCAGGAGGATCAGAGTTCCAGGCCATCCAGAGCTAAAGAATGTGTGTGTGTGTGTGTGTGTGTGTGTGTGTGTGTGTGTGTGTGTGTGTGTGTGTAGGGAAGGAAGGAAGGAAAAGAGAGGGGGAGGGGAAAGGAGAAGGAGGGATGGAGGAGAAAGGGATGGAAAAGGAGACCTGTTTGGGGAGCCATGGGAACTGTCTACAGCTCAGCCATCTTGATGTCTAAACATGTACCAGTGCCCAATCATGCGGTATCCTGAGTCTCAGAATTGGGCTCAAACTGAGTATCTTCCTTTCAGACAGAAGGACTGATCCCACTGTAGGGGGAGGGGGAGAACCTAGAGAGAAGGCTGGCTTGCCTTTGAATTATGCACAGTGGAATGTCTTGGTGGCTTTGATGGTGTTTAATTAAATATTTGGCACATTTAATTAATTAAATATTTAAACGTTAAATACAGAATCGGATGTGACTTGGTGGACATTATGTCTCAATAGCCATTAGTCATTCAGAAGCCCTGTGAATGGATCTCTGCATCCTGGGCCTCCCTCCTGGCTTGCAGAATGGCTCCACGAGACATTTGTAACCACCCCAAATTAATCTTCCCTCCCTAGCTGGGCTGCCCTGGCTCTGGGCAGTGCACACAGCACATGTGCAGGAGAGGGGGTCCTGTTGTTTTTTCAGCATCTGCTCACAAAGTGGTGGAATAGGCCAGAAGCCCAAAACTGCACCTGCCCCCATGAGTACACCTTCTCTTTCCAAAACAGTATAGATGTACCCCCACCCCATAATCATGGCAGGATGCTTCCTCACTTCCAGCACATCCTCACCCTTATCCTGTCATGTACCCAGAAGGTGTAAGAGACTCCTGAACAGCCATAAAAGGGGGTCTGAGAACATGTCTGAGAACATGCTCCCCTAATGACCCAGCATGAGGTGTGGTGACCTGCAACCCCTTGCTGCTGAGTCACCTAGGGACACCCTGAGGCACCTGTGTCCACCAGTGCCCAGAGCAAAGAGTAGGAACAGATGCCTTCACATAGCCTCTTTTTGCTCCTTCCTTTGGAATGGCAGAGTCACCTGCTACCTAACTATCCTTGGGTTCAGGGAGGTCCAGCTAGCTCATCCATGCACATGCTCAGCGGCAGGCTCAGATGTGTATATGGGGTGGGGAGACAACGAAATGTCAGCAGACAGAATCCTTTCCATGGGGTGGAAAGATAGTCCCTCAAAACAAAGTCCAGATTTCCCGAAGCTTCCCTTGCCAGCTTTGCTGCCCCTATCCCAAGCACCATCTTGACTCTTCCTCAGCCACTCTCCTTCCAATGTTTGACATACAGTCACACCAGGTCCTGTCAACTGTTAGGTTTCAAACCCAGGACAAATGGCTGAGTGCCTACTTAACATATCAAAGCATCCTGGCAGCCAGGTTCTCCCAGCATCCCTCAGTCCTCACCCGTTATGGGTCCTCTTGGCTAGCATACCCTGTTGCCTACCCTGAACTCTCCAGCCCAGGAACTGGGCTGCCCTTCCCTACATAATCCAACCATTTTGTGTACCTGGTCTTTTGGGCCTCCTGGCTGATGCACCTGGTTCCCCTCTCTCCTCTCTCCCATCCCCTTCCCCCTCTCCTCAGGTGACTCAGTCATGTCCACTCTGGACTCTCCCAGATGTTGCTGCCTCTGGCTATGTCTCCCTTTTATCTATAATAAACTTTCTCCTACACCATACCTAAGGCCAGTAATGTTCCTTTCCTTTTTGTTTCTCTTTTTCATTCATCAACTTTTTTTGTTTTGTTTTTCGAGACAGGGTTTCTCTGTGTAGCTTTGCGCCGTTCCTTGAACTCACTCTGTAGTCCAGGCTGGCCTCGAACTCAAAGAGATCCGCCTGGCTCTGCCTCTCGAGCCCACGCCTTTAATCTCATTCATCAACTTTTAAAAGCTCCGGGATCTGGGTCCCTTCCCTTTCCTTAAGTCTTTTAGAGGAGTCACTTAAGATGACACTTCCTGCTCCTGGAAGACCCCGGCATTTAACACGGAACTAGGGGTGAGAGACTGAGTAGGCAGCCCCAGGCACGGACACTGGCTGGCCACTAGACTGTCCTGTCTAGCTTAGGTGCATCAGGGCCTGGATGCTGTCCACCCCACCCACCCTCAACCCCCAAGGCATCAGCAGAGATTGTGTGACATATTACTGAAGACAAATGGAATCCTGGGGTGGAAAGGGAGGATGGCCAAGAAGAAAGCTCAGAAGTGCCACCTACTGGCTGTTGAGAGAAAGACCTGTGATTGGTCCTAGACCTAAAGGATATCGGGGATCTCCTCTCCCCACTTCTAGGCTGAGTCTGGCCAAGATTGGGAAAGGGGGAAACCAGTTACTTTGAGGTTTGCAGAATATCCTTTGATATGAGTCAGGCGAAGAGGGAAAAAAAAAAAACCTAAAATAAGGTTATAAAACTCAGAATTATTTAAAACAAATAATAGCTTTTACATTGGAATATACAAGGATTTTAAAAAACAAACAAAACTGTCTACTACTGACGCAACACAGGTGCTCTAGGAAGACAGGTCCGTCGTCCCCCCCCCCCCCCCCCCCCCCCCCCCCCCCCCCCCGGCTCCCGTTGCACGGCGTTGGATTCTCCCGGATAACCCCATTTGGGACCCAAAGTCTGGAGCAAGAGAAACCCGAGGTTTAGCGCAGGCCCAGAGCAAGCACAAACACGCTGCGCCCTGCAGTGACCTCTTCCAGGCTCTGGGCCGGCTCCTCTGCACACCTCTCGGCCACCCAGCCTCACTTCCCAGCCCTTTATAAATATGCATATGCATGAAGCCTCAGAGACGGGGGGGGGGGGGGGGGGGGCAGGCTTCCCCGCCCCTTTTCTTTTTGAGGGAAAATTAAGCACAATGACAAATTTAGTTATTCATGCAAACCATGAGCCTGCTATCCTGATTATGCTGGACGCAAACTGTGAGTATCTGAGTGCCTGCGCTCTCATCAAAGGCGCCATCGGGCTGCAAGAGCCCCGGCCCTGTCCTCTTGGCCACTGCCTTTGTACTCACGTCACGACCAGAGAGGCCGGCCATCTCCCTCTGACTGTGCGCTCCAAACGCAGGGACCCCTCCAAGCTTTATTTTAAAGGATTAATTAACCTTGTGAGATTGGTGGGGGGAAACTCCACCTGGCTATCTGTGCATGAAAGCATCCGCTCACCAGAGTATTTTAAGCCCACGGTGAAGACCATATGGTATTTCAAAGAACAGAAGTTGAAAGTACGGTACATATTTATTCCTTCCACAGAGTGCATGAAAGGGTTTAAGTATTTTATTAAAGCCTGTATGTGCAGGCATGTGTGCGCACGTCTGTGTGTGTGTGTGTGTGTGTGTGTGTGTGTGTGTGTGTGCGCGCGCGTGCGTGCACGTGTGTGCTCATGAAGTGAACAGAAATCTACTTGACGCATGGAAAAAATAAATTACACAGATTTATTTTCATCTCTCTGCCAAGCCACCCCATAGCAACAGTGAAAACTTGGTCTATGTAAACTCGAGAAAACAAGAAATATTTTATCAAGTCGACTCAACTCATAGGGCTACTGCCAATTTTTCCTTTTCCATTTTTTTTTTTTTTTTACAAAAAAACCACCATCAGTCCCCTGAAGTCCTTGGGCCAGGCTGAGGGAAGACAGCGCAAGTTCAGGGCCACTGGATCACAGCAAAGCTGTGAGAACCTCGGTGCAACACTTCATAGGGTTGTCCCAAGACCAAAAAGAGAACTGTGTGGTAAGTACTCAGAACAGCAACTCTGGACACAGAGCAAGAAGCACAAGATTTTTATCTTGCAGACCCCTAGCTCTGGAATGTGAAAAGGTCTGTGGATTTGATCCCACTCCCTTCTGTACCTAAAGTTCTATCCTAGTCCATCAGGAAGCAAGGCTTCCTATTTAAGTAATTAGCTTGGGTTGGATTAACGCCATCCCTAACGGGTCACCATGACAACTTCTGACCAAC